CCGCTTAACCGATTGAGCCACCCAGGCGCCCCTCCAAGATCTTATTTAAATTCCAGTTAGTTAACATACAGTATAGTATTGGTTTCAGGAGTAGAATTTAGTGATTCATCACTTACATATAACACCCAGTGCTCATCACAAGTGCCTTACTTAGTGCCCACCATGCTTCAGCCCATCCCTCTACTCACCTACCCACCTCCTTTACCCACAGAATTTGAAATCTGGGTGGGACTTTGGGAATCTTTCATGATGTCAAGTGGTGCCATTTCTCACAGATTAAAAAAAACAGTAAGCTACACACCCGTACCTGCTATTCCAAGATGGATTTTGAGAGTCTCTCCACCTTTTCTATCTTCTTCCAGAGATTCAGATTCACCAGCAATTGGTAGAGACATTGATGTAGAAGGAGGCCTGTAAATAAATATTTCAAAGGATCAGAACTTGATTAATGGATGGGTGAATCAGAAAGCTTGAGATAGTGTTAAAGAATGGTTGTGGAGTCAGTGCACCACTTTAGTAAGGTGCCTGCTTAACGGTACCTCTTTGAGGGTGAACGTCATAAAAATCAACACATACTGTATGAGCTGCCTCAAAACTGGAATACACTTCATGGGGAAAACAAAAGATTTTTACTCAACAAAAAATGTGAGACCAGAAAGGGGATTGCCTCCACAGAGTCTGGAAAAGAGGAGCTCTGGTTGTGTGTCCCCGGCACCATCTGTGGAGGATGCTTCAACTGTCAACTCTCAGACAAGGCAGGGAGGTTACCTGAGGCAGAGAAGGTGGTATCAAGACCCTTTGTATCTGAGGTCGGAGGGGAATATGTCATGCCTTCCACTCCAGGGCCTGAGCTCTCTTGTTGGCCTACTAACTTCTTAAATGTACCCACGGTTTTAACTTCTACCTTCTCTGTCAACGGCTCACTTACCCTAGGGGGAATCTGTAAAGAGCCCCAGTTGTTTAGATTGTTTTTTGGGCTGGATTCTCTAGGGGCAGGTGATGGTATCTTTTCATTGGCTAATTCAAGGCTCCTATCTCCATGTGGAAGATGTGTAGCAGGTTGGGGCAAATCTGAGTTCTAACAGGAATTTTTTTTTTTTTTAATAAAACATCCCTAACTTTTGAGGTTGACAGTCTAGAGGAAAACCACATCTTCCTGGAGACTATCCCTTGGTGACCTGAGGTAAAATAGGGAGGTGGCTGAAGGGATAGTGGGTGAAGCTGACCAACTACGTGGCAATTCCTTTTTTGTTTTTGTTATTTTGTATTTACTGAAATTCAAAACATACTAGCAAAGTACCTCTAAAATAAAGATTGCTAAAATAAACTAGAAAAGTATTTCCAAAATACAGATGACCAAAAATTAGTTAGCCTGAGTATATTAGTTATGTTGTTGCTGGAACACATTACCACAAACCCAGAGACTTAACATAAATTCATTATCTTACAGTTTCTGTTAGAGGTCTGACATAGGTTCCACTGGACCAAAATCAAGGTGTTGGCAGGACCACATTCCTTCCTGGAGGCTTTAGGGGAGAATCTGTTTCCTTGCCTTTTCCAGCCTCCAGAGACTGCCTGCACTCTTTGGCTCAGGCTCCTTCCTCCATCTTCAAAGCCAGAAAGGCTGCATCTCTCTCTGACTGTTCTGTATTTCGCATTTCCCTCTAACCCTGACATGCTGCCAATTACCTTTTCTCTTGGATTATACCTCTTCCCTTTAAGGACCCTTGGGATTATAGTGGGTCCACGTGGAGAACCCAGAATAATTTCCCTATTTTGAAGTTAGATTACTACTTTAATTCCACCTGCCACCTCATTCTCCTTGGCCATTTAACTCAACATATTCACACGTTCTAAGGATTAGGTGTAGACATCTTTGGTGGTGCTGGGGACATTAGTCTACACACATTAATATACTACAGTTTAATATTTTCATGACAGTTCAGTAATTGTCATTCAGTTGCCCTAATACAGAATTTATCTTTTTTATCTATGTAAAACATTAAACTGGCCAAATGCAATAGTAACAAAAAAAATGTAACGCAATATAAAACCCATTGTACAACAGTATAAGTAGTGGTTATTTGTATACATACGTTCATATATGTATATATAAAACTATACATGTGTACACATGTGTATGTGTATATATTGTGTGTGTACATATATTGTGTGGTAATTCTTAAATTCTTAATATATTATGTCAGTAGAATCCTCTGGCTATTTAGGTCCTTGAAGATACAGACATTTAAGACCGTCATTAAACCTATTTCGAGATTCTTTCTTTCTTTTTTCTTTTTGTGTTTATTTATTTTGAGAGAGAGAGAGAGAGAGAGAGAGAGAGAGAGAGAGAGAATGAATGAATGAATGTGGGGAGGGGCAGAGAAGGAATCCCAAGCAGGGACATAAGACTTGATCTCACAAACCATGAGATCACAACCTGAGCCAAAATCAGGAGTCGGATGCTCAACTGACTCAGCCACCCTGGTACCCTGAAACCTATTTATAAATTATTTTTATCATAAGGTCTCCTAAATTCCAAAATTGCATATCCTGCTGGGATATTTTCAAGTATTTGTCTTGCAAGTATATTGAAGTCAATATATGCCCAGCTAAGGCCATCTTCTCTTCCTAAATCTGCTTTCTTCTTGTATTCTCCAACTCTGTGAATGTCATCATAGTCCACAAAGTCACTGAAACTACAGTCCTAGATACTGCCTCTGGGTCCTTCCTACTCACATTTCTCCATACCCAAACAGTTTCCAAATCCCACAGATTCTCCCATGTTCTTTCTATTTGTCATCTTTTCTCTGCCTCCAGTAATTACTTTAGTTTGGTCTTTGTACCTTAAGACCATAAGAGTCTCCTAGCTAGGAGCTTGTTATGAACATGTTATTCTCTGATTAAAAGCATGTCAATAGCTCCTTTCAGATAAAGCACAAACTCTTTGGGGCGCCTGGGTGGCGCAGTCGGTTAAGCGTCCGACTTCAGCCAGGTCACGATCTCGCGGTCCGTGAGTTCGAGCCCCGCGTCAGGCTCTGGGCTGATGGCTCGGAACCTGGAGCCTGTTTCCAATTCTGTGTCTCCCTCTCTCTCTGCCCCTCCCCCGTTCATGCTCTGTCTCTGTCTGTCCCATAAATAAATAAAAACGTTGAGAAAAAAAAAATTTTTTTAAAGCACAAACTCTTTATAAGGCCCTTTGTAGTCTGGCCTAGACCTACTTCTTCAGTTACCAAAGGCTGTATTTTTAAATAGTGTGAAATAATAGTGGCCTAAAAAGCCCTGCATTCAATATTCCATAAGAAAAAGTAACATGCAAAACAAATACACTTACAAAGAATGGAGTCTACAGTCCCAGTCATTAATCACTGATGGTGACTCATGCCTGCCTGTCCTATTTTTTTAATGCCAAGTCCTTTGTTCCTCCTTTCACAGGTGGCCTGATTCCAGTGTCTCCATCCCTCTACCTCTTAGACCTGTTTTCCAACTTTCAGTGCTCCCAGCCTGTGGCCTGTTCCCTTTCTCCCTGTCTCCCTCTGGCTCCACTCTTTCCTGTTCAGCCTGACTTCAGGGCCACGATACTTTTAGCAATACCTTCAGTTTGGCATCCCTTGTTCTGAGGTCTCAAAACACTTGAAGAACCCCAACCCTTGATAATTTGAGCCTTCTTCACTAACTTAGTTAACTGGGGTAACTAAGCATTACAGAGAAAATTCAATAGTTTTGAATTATTGAATCAGTCCATGGGGACTGATATTAATTATGGTCCAAAATTTATAGTGGGGCCTTGGCAGCTCTCCTAAGTCTCCCTACACAACTCAGTCAGGTTGAATAATCACTGTGCTTAACGTGTGTCAGTTTTTATTCTATTACCCCTTTTTGTTCTGAAAATGTTTTTGTATCCCTTATAAGAACTTGTTTAATATAGCTCAATTACAGAACGAAGAGATGAGATTTTATTTTAATGTCACAGCAACGTTAAGAGTATGTGAAAAATGACCTGAAGTGACAATAGTACGTACTTGATATTCATGCCCTGTAACAATGCCATAAACTCATGCAAGACGTTTTCTATTCCTGGAATGTCCTACCCACCTCCTCTGCTTGATAATTTCCTATTCATCCTCTAAAAATTAGCTCAGTATCACCCCCTCAGTGAACACTTTCCTGCATTTCAAGAAAAAGTAGTTAGGGACTCTACCATCCATGCCTCAGTAGCATCATATGTTCTGTGTCTGTCTCCCACAGAAGGAGTAAATTTTTCAGAACAGGGGCTGGCCTTACTTAAGTTTGGTAAATGTTAGCACATGGCAGACAATCAATGTACACGTACAGAATAAATGAGTGAATCCTGGGACCCTGGACAAATTAGTTCCTTAACCTCGGAGCCTCAGGGTCCTCACTTAAAAAATACAGATACTGTATCAGAGTTGTTTCAACATTTAAATTGGAAGACAGTAATATTTACTAAATCATTTTGACAAATAGTACTCTCCTTCCTTCTAGAATATGAATGCTCCAGAACCCTAGCTATTCAAGAGGATTATCATCCCTAGATCTACTTTACCACCATATTGTCAGATGTCAGTGTAGCATGTATTTTTTCTCTCAAAATATCCTTTTTCTCTTAAAATTCTTAAAAAAAAATTTTTTTAATCTTTATTTTTGAGAGATAGAGAGAGACAGAGTGCGAGCGGGGGAGGAACAGAGAGAGAGGGAGACCAGAATCTGAAGCTGGTTCCAGGCTCTGAGCTGTCAGAAGAGAGACCAACATAGGGCTTGAACTCACATTCATGAGATCATGACCTAAGCTGAAGTCGGATGCCCAACCGACTGAGCCACCC